GCGCCCGAGACAAATACAAAGAGGAATTAAAATCAGTTGTTTTCAAAGGGCTTTGCGCAATAAAATAATTATAGTAACCCTTGCGTCCGATATAGCGCTTTATCAGGTCTTCGGAACGTCCCAAAGGGCTTCACAGGCTATTGTAAAGTGGATTGATTGTTATATTGTGTTACTTCAAAGCAGCACTCAATTACTTTCAAGTGTAGTGACTGCTCCCCAGGCAATCGCACCCACCACCGCCGCACCCCCCCTCCCCCATCCCCCACTCCATCACTCCCTCTCCCGCAAACAACAATGAGGGGGGAAAGACCACTTCGTGAGACGCTATCCTTGTGTATAGGCAAGTTGCTGTTGCTGTTGCTGTTGAGATGTGGGAGCAATATCAGGCAGTACACCCAGAGAATGCCTCCGTCTTCAGCGCCTTGGGACGTCCTCCCGGCACGAAAGGCGCGACGCAGATATAATTTGTTGTCATCTATTGTCTTAAGGCTCTAGAATTGTTGAAGCTACCAAATGAGGTTTGCAAATATGTTGCAACGAATGAATTATATTATTGTTATCATTAATTATGGGATGCGAAAGGTATCTGGAAAGTAACATAATGCTGAACAGAATAAAACGTTTAGTTAAATCCCTACAACAAAGTGCTTTTTTTTAACCCTTTTTTTTATTCCAACGCAATGACTCTTATTCCTTTTTTCCTCCCCCCAGAATCAGAGTCGAGGGGCGAGCGATTAGTCAATTCCGTTTTGTACAGCGTGTTGTTTTTTGTTTGATATCAGGTTATTTGCGAAAAACACAGGGTTGCAGAGATAACACTGACAGGAAAAAGGCTCAGAGTACTGCCTACTAAAGGGAATAGATAACAAAAAGCATAATCCGTACCATTGCTTCTTTAAGAGTATTGCCTTAATGGCTGTAATAAACCATAGATAGGTTACTAATGGTGGTATGATTAGAAAGATCTTTGCTTCATGTCTGCTGTGAGATAAGTACCTCGTTCCACTTCTGTGTAGGCGTTCAGACAGCAACCAGTCTAATGGACACTTGATAGGTTTGGCTCCTTCAGACTTAGACAGTGCGTTGACTTTTGGAACTGACAGATAGCTGTAAGTGCAGTCAGATTGTCGGGGGGCAATTTTCAGACTTGACTAGGAGGTTGAGACCCTTACTGAGTGGCAGGACAAATGGGATACAGTGCAATGTGTGCGTGTCAGCCTGGCTCAGCCATTAGGATTCTCGCTTGAATCCTCTGAGGATGTGGATTCAGGCCCCACGTCAGGACCTTGAGCTCACAGGCTAAGGTGACGTTCCAACGCATCACTGTTGGGGTGGGCAAACCGTGTCCTTCAGTTGAGACATTAAACCCTGTCCCGTCTGCTTGTCAAGGTGGATGTTAAAGGTCTCGCAGCGCTATTCAAACAGAGTAGGCAGTTTGTTTCTCCCAGTGTCCTTGGCTGACAATCTCCCGGATAAAATTGCTCACTCGCTCCATGTAAGCTGTTTGTGAGACATCGCCCTCAAAGCACACACAGTCGCAGTGCTTTACTGTACATCCTGTGAAGCACTTTGATAAGGCGCCCGGTATCACACGCAAGATTTATCACTATTATTTCCCCTTCAGTTTATGCAGGGTAACTGTTGAATTTATGTGTGTACATGACCTACATGGAAGTCTCAGGCTGGTTTGGATAGTCTTAAGAAGTGCGATAGGTTTCCGCGTCTGTCAGACACCCGACCGACAAAAAAATAAAGTGGGAAGCAAATTGGGGGGGAGGGGGCGGAGAGGTGTGAAATTGTAACATGTCAGCAATTCAATGTGATAATTTTAGCCTTGCGATACGTCGGAAATTTCACTCGAATAATATCCTTGGCGGCTGTAACAAACTCACATAAAATGTGCCGGAATTTTCATCAGAGTCACCTTGCAAATTAAAATATGTAAATACATATGTGAATGACGGAGTAAGTTGTGAGAAGGAAATTGTAACACACTTTATACAAGGCTGCGGCAGATACACCCCGCGAAAATGAACCGAATATATCGGTTCTGTCGCAAATGATGAATACTAATGTCATCTGTTGAATACGATCAGACTGCGGACTATTTAAAGATAGCATTGGCTTGGATACGACCAGCCGGGGTTCCTACTCCTTGGCCCTCTACAGCACACTCTAGTGGGTATGTGGGAATGTGGTAGATCTTGGAGGAGAGGTAAACTGTGATGCCCTCTACAGATAAATATGTTACTCGCCATTCAATGCCAAGGCTCTCTCACATCACACACAACAACAACCACAACGACAACTGTCCCAAGGCGCTGAACGGCCAAGGGTTTTTCACTCGAGCAGCGGGTTGATGTCACGAGGGGTGGAGGGTAGGGCGTGGGGGTGTAGGAGGATGACTCAAGGCAGGAGCTGCGGAGTTCTGAATAACCTGCAGCCTGTGGAGGGAAGAGTTGGGAAGTCCGGCAAGCAGGAAGTTAGCGTAGTCAAGGCACAGGTGGACAATAGTCACTTGGGGCATGGAGGCGGTGAGGGTGGGAGAGGGCGGGGGTAAGAGGGTGGGGGCATTGTAGGGTAACCAGCGCCCACCAAAACCCCACCCCAGCGAGAGGAGCCGAGAGAAGCGGGCACCAACGGAGAAGCGAAAACCAGACAATGACTCAAGAAAAAAGAAGACATTTTGGTTCTTTCCATTTGCATTTATTTAAAATATATATATATATATATTTAGCAAAAACATTTTAAAAAAAACTTGAGATTCGAGAATTGCTTCAGGGAGAAGTGAGAAACGAGCTTCTAAATAGGGATCAAAGTGAGGAATAAGGCACAGGGAACACTTAGGAGGTTATATTTTTAATCCCACAAAGTGTCTCTGGTTGGTTTATTGAGACAACTATGAGTTTCCAGTAAAAATGGCAGCTGAGGATGAACGATATCTAACTCAGGGCTCAAAAGACTGCACAAATTTGCAGGCAACTTGGTTTTTTTAATGTCTTAACGAAGCAAGCAGCGATAAGGGCCATTTCATATTGGTTTTGCACAGCGTTTAAGCATCGCAAACCACCTTCAATTAAAAGCATGGTATTTAAAGCCTATTTTTGAACTGTCTTTGCAACTCTTACCTGTACCCATGAGGATAAAATTTAGCCGCAATCTTATTTTTTATATAGGGAAAAAAATATTGCAACTCAGATGTGTTTAACATGTGTTTTGGTTTGTCAGTTTAAATCCCTTTTCACTGCCTTTGATGGTAGAAGGAAGGAGAGAGGAAAGGGTTGGGGTGGGGGGGGGGGGGGTTGGAAGTGTCAATTATTCTGTGGATGAGCACATTTGGAGTTTTCAGATAAACACTTTTTTTTAGAAGTACAGTTTTCTATAGGGTTTAAGTTGGTCTTTATTGCTAAATCAGTCAATCTTCCGGTTTTGGTCGAGTGAAAAAATAGTGATGTGAACTATTTTTGAGAATGATCCCTTGATCTCAAAGCAATATAAACGTACAATTATACAATACAATTGTTTTTTTGCAACTCAAACGCCTCTCGAGATTCATTCAGTATCAATTGCCTGTGGTAAATATCACACAATCACTTGTTAAAAAAAAATGGTAACAGGTAAAATGTGAGACCTAGTTGTAAGATTAATATTGAATACACATGTTTTTAGCAGCTTGTGTGGAATGTCGTTTGAGCTAATTTGATGGGTTAGGTTTGTGTTAAATAAACCTAAATAAATAAATAAACGAAGCAAACCTAAATAATTAATACTTATCTTCCATCAAAGTCAGCTTAAACCCGAGAGGAGCCCGAGGAACATTTAATTTAGGTGTTTAAAAATAAGGGGTTAATAGCGCTGCCTTAAACACGTCACTCGAATTTGCATGACCAAGATTAATGCAGATTACAGTAACGCAATTAAAAAATAAATTAACAAAAAAGCTGGCTCTTTCCTGGGTTACATTTTCTGCTTTGCTCTGAAATCCCATTGGATTGACTTTATTTTCCCAGGGGATGTGGGGTTGGATTTGATAACGTCCCCAATACCTTCACCTGATGGTTAGTCAATGCACATCACCTTGTTTTTTCTTAACTGTCCCACTGCAACCCCTACTGGCAATTAGTTTTATTCCGTTAAGCGCCAGAAAACAGCCACACTAGAAAATATCAGGATCTGTACTTGGTACGTAGGTGACCCTGACAGAAATTTAACTGTTCCAACACACAGCTAACGAGAGGAAAGGGGGGGGAAAAAATATTTAGTTGACTATAACCACTGATGCTGAACTATTTAATGCACACTAAACCTTTGTGGTCGTCCACACTGATTATATTATGCAGTTTTATGTTTTAAAACGCACACATTTTTTTTGCGAGATAGCGGCCAGATCAAGTTAACCCTTTACTGCGCCACTCACAAGGCAATCTATGCAACTGAGTGCAGAATTAAACCAAACCAATTTTTTTTTTTGGGTGGAGGGATATACTATAACCTACTAACTTAACCAGTAAATGCTTGTAAATAATAAAAAAAAAGCAAGGATTATGATTGATAATAATATACTATGACTGGCATCTTAATTCTAATGTAAATTTGTGTGTGTATATTTATATAACATATATACATATGTGCATATATAAATCCCACAACTGTTTTCTGCATTGATGTGGCTGATAACTTGGATCCAGGGAATTAATGTAACGTCTATCAGCTAAGAGTGTGTCTTGTAATATTTTTTTTCTTGTGTGGGTAACTTTTCTTTCCCCTTCTCCTGAAGATAAGCTGAACAAACGATGATGCATATCTGTTAGGGTACATTCTGTGTGTGTGTGTGTGTGTGGGGGGGGGAGAGAAAACACACACAGACACTGGGGAAATGAGTGGGATTCGATTTGTCGATATCTCATTAATGCCAAATAAGTGTAAGGAGGCGAATTGCACCTCCCACATGATCATAGAGCCCATGGGTATAAAAGGAGGTGGAAGTAGCTAACAGCTTCACAAGACAACTGAACATTACTGAGCAACCGAGAAAGAGAGAGAGAGAGAGACCCAGAGTCAGACAGAGACAATCTTGTTAGGACTTTCTTTGCTCATCCAGAGTAAATCCAGACTTCAGAAACTGTAAGTACCTTTAGCTGTTTGCATGTGTGTGTGTGTTTTTTTATTCTTGTTCAACCCGCTTTGTACTGCTATTTATTTCTCTCTCTCTCTTGTTCTCCAGTTAAAACACTTTGTTCTTCCCTCTTCTCTCCTTGAAGAGTTTTTGCAGTGTGTATTCGAAGTCCATTCGAAGTCTGAATGTAATCCGAGCAACGATACTATTGCATGCACTCAATTCAAACCAAACTGGGTCTCTTGTCAACCAGTAACACAAACGTCTAAACATGCACACTTTTGTTTAAGCTCTAGACATTTCATCCCGATAACTGGGATGTCACTATAATTCTGCCCTCAGTTAACCGCACCTTCAATAAATCCTGTTAAGCACTTTGAGACTTCCTCCCGAGGGTGAAAGGCATCCGATGCGAAAGGTTATTTATTTTACCACCGTAATCGTTTGCATTCGAAGCAAAACGCCTGATCGCGCGCGCGATTCTGCGTTTCCAAGATTTCACCGGGAAAGTGTAGTGACTGCATTGACGGGCAAAATGCAGCAGCCCGATTTGCGTACGCAGCAACGTCCCACAAAACGGGCATGAAGTGCCTGCTGAATTTCTTTCCGTGCGAAGATGGTCTGTTCATTCAACCCAGTCAAGAAGAAGAAGAAGAAAAAAAAGAAGAAGAAGAAGAAGAAAAGGGAGAAAAAAAAACGAAACAGAAAATCAATTTGACGGCTAGGAAGGAATTTAAAAAAAAAATTTTTTTTTTACAATCTTAACAGTTTCAAAGCGAAAAAAAAATCTGCTTCGATCAGTCTTTCGGTCTTATTTTCTCCTTGTGAAAAATGCACGTGTTTTCTTTTTTTTTTGCTATCCCCCTTGGATGGTGACCAATTACGTTAGGTGAACGATTTTTTTCCTGAATCCGTTTGCCCAATAAAGCTAAGTTCTTTTATGTCCTGTCCGTCAAACAATGCCCATCCACTGCTGGGTGCGATTTACTCAGACGCTTTTCTGCAGCATTCGTTTTGCTGCTGGGTATCTGCGGACAAAACGGGTAATCTCTATTCCTCTCGCCCTCCCGCACGAAAGGCGCGATATAAATACAAGCCGCTGGTTGCCGTTGCATTTCTATGCCAACGTGATTTCTTGTGGTAAACCGGGCTTCTAAGACGGGACAGAACTTGAGGGGGCTGTGAAAGTTTGCTCACTTGCTCGCTTACAAAACTCCTCTGTGTCGATCAAACCTCTAAGTCACTGCAAGACTGTAAAAGGGGTTTCTCCTGTGTATAAAGTCCTGCGGTTCAATGGTTTGAATATTCCTTGCAGTGAAGTCAATGCTGAAATAAAGGTGCATTGGGAAGGAAAATGGACATAAAGATGTAAGTGGGTGGAAGGGGAGGATTGAGCCCGGGATCCGTTACTGTGAAGCGCTCTGCGACGCCGTCCGGCGTGGAGGGCGCTATATAAATCCGAGTTGTTGTTGTGGTGTTGTTGTTGTGTAGTGGGCAGAGTTGCAGCTTACAGAACAGGAGCTCTCGGGTTCGAATCCCGGTCCCTGCTGAGTTTGCTGGTCTTAGAGTGGGTGTAATTGGCCCCGGGATTTCCTGGGCTTAGAGAGGGAAAAATCTGCCAGGGTTTCTGCTCCCAGTCCCTCTGCATTAAGTGTGTGTGTGTGTGAGGGGGTGGGGGGGGTGGGCGGAAGCCGGGCGAGGGGAGGTTAGGCTTGGCTGTGACGCCCTCTGCAGTCGAGTGGCGCTGCCCAAGTGCCCAGCGCCCGGGCTCAACGGGAAACAGGACGATACGGCGATGGGAATCCGGTGGGATGGGCAGTCTGGAAGGACGAGACCGAACCAGGCGACATATTTATCTGTATCCGAACCTCTCTTGCAATCCCGTGATGTCTTTCCCGTGTGTTTGCAGATGTCGGCTGCTCAGAAACCATGGACCACCCTGATCGTTGTGGCCGTGTGCGTGTTGGTGTGTTTGGGGACCCTGGCGGAAGCCTATCCCCCCAAACCCGAAAACCCCGGGGAGGATGCCCCACCGGAGGAGCTGGCCAAGTACTACTCGGCTCTCCGGCACTACATCAACCTCATCACACGGCAGAGGTGAGAGCTCAGCTCGCTGGCCGGTCGCGATCTAATCCGTCCGTTCGGCGCTTTGCGGTGGGTTCTTCGGCGACAGCTCCGATCGATCTCGTCGGTACGTGATTCACAGTCGACGCGCTGTCTGTCTATCTCGTGGATTTCCACTTCGCTGCCTTCCCCCTTCGATTAACCCCTCGACTGCCAGCCGCTCACGGACTGACCCTTGTAAGGATGGATCAGTGGTTTGTACGTCGCTAGCAATAAGATGATCGCAGCGCTGGCGGTGGTGGTCCTTCAGATGAGACGTTAAAGCACGTTCCGCCTGTTTCGGGCGCACGTTAAAGATTCCCATGAAAGAGAGAGGGGCAGAGTTTTTCCTAGTCGATCCGAGCTGGATAAGTAGCGGGAAGTTTCCCAGACAGCACACTCTCAGTATCAAACTGGTTAAGCTGGTTAAGCTCCATCAGTCACCCACCGCGCACTCTGGGGTCCCCACGAGCCTTGGCTCTCTCCAACCCCTGTGCCTAATACCTCCCGGGGTTTAGGTAAGCAGGGTGTGCGTCCCTCCGGGGAAGAGAGTGCCAATCCGTTCCAGACACTGGGAAATTTCCAGGTGTAGGTGGCTTACCCACGGCGGGGAACTCTGTTCGGTTTGAACACCCTCAAGCCACGGCGATGGGTTTCCGCGCGTGTCAGACACTCGGCTTTGAGATGACACAAATAAATCAATCAATCGGAGAGAAGAATTATTCAGCTCTAACGCTTGACAAACTGAGCGCTCCCGTTGTTAAACCATTCCCTCTGTAGCCTCCCGCGATCCATTGGCAACTTACAGAGAGGGAGAGATTGCACTCCCCAGATGGGCTGATCTTATTGACGGACCCACCCTTATTTATTGAGCCAAACATTTACCTACAATAAATCTGGACAGGGCTCAGGCAGAGCTGTGGATCAGAGCGAGTGTTCCAGAGCTCATTGTAATCTGCGTTAAGGTTTCCAGTCCCTTGTTGTATCATTGCAAAGATTGTTATTTACACGCATAACTTCCTGGTCTGGTTTGATGGGTTTCCTCCGTGCGTGTCAGACACCCAGCGGATGACGCACAAAAAAATTGAGCGTGTACGAGAACCAAATTCTATCGGGGAAACTTTAAGACGAGAGGGTTATTTATCTCACACTGTGCTGTAGAGTTCCTACGCCATGAGTCGCGTAGAGGCCTCTCAGTGTGTGAGAGGGGGAGAGGTAAGGAAATCAGTCAAGACTCTTGCTGTTGATTGCTATCTCCTGCTGGAAAATGTGCGTCTGCGTCCGGGTGGAGGTGGGTAAAGGAGAGGTATCGGGGATGATCTGTGTGTGACTGAATAATCTGCCGAGGTTCTGTATCTGAGCTCACACAACAACCTGCATTTATGCAACGTCTATCACGCGAGGATAACATGTCACATAGAGCGTTGCCGTTTAAAAAGCAGCTTAATGCAGTGATGGGGTGGGGTGGTGGGTGGGGGGGGAAATTTAGTGGGGGGGGGTTCTGGAGGGAAGAGATCGGATAAGCCGAAGGGCCTTCTTCATCCAGACCCATCTTAGGATCTTTCTTGCGAAAGTAAAACATAAATCAAAATGAAGGCGAATGCGCTGAGTAAGCAATTAACTATATCAACTACAGTTGACTCTAACTACAAAACACGCAGTCACGACACTCTGCAGTAAATCCTGTGAAGCGCTTTGAGATTTCCTCCTGGTGTGAATGGTGCTTTATTGCAATGCAAATATTATTCATGTGATGCATTACGTTACATTTTCCTTATGTAGATTTGCCTACAAATGCACAGTTACTACACTTTACAGTGTAGTGTTTTCGCCGCTGTTATTTTTAATTAGCTTTTTTTAAATTAATCCCACTTTACAGCTCTACCTCCCGTCCCCCCCCACCCCCGCATCCCTTAATAGTTTGAGCGCTGAGGTGCTTGTGATTTTGGATGATTCCATTGATCCAACCTCAACAGCCACTCGCGCTAATGAATTCCACACCCTAACAGCCATCTGTGCGATGTTTCCATCTCCACACTTCGTGGGCTTGTGAGAGAAACCATCAATGTACTGCCATCTTGATTTGCTCTAATACCTGCCGCGCAATCAAATCCTCTCGCCGAGTCCTTCTGCTTTCCAGACAAAACCATTCACGTCCTCCCCTTCGCCCTTAATCATCCTTCTTCGTTCGGCACGTCGTCGAGACGCCTCAAAGCGCTTCACGGGGGAACTCACTGCAAAGTGCAGTGACTGCGTAGTTTGTAAGCGAACGGGTTTTTTTCACACAAAAGAGGGACATGGGTGCTTTAAACTCATACTTAATAATATCACAAAATAGCAGTTAATGAGCGGTGGTTTGGGGGGTTCGCCAGAAACAGCTCTACCTGATAACGTACCTGAGAATGATTTTTTTTTCCCCGACAGATATGGGAAGAGGGAAAACCCAGAAAGTCTGTCAGAATCTCTCTTTGATGACAGCAAGGATCACACCGGGAGGGAAAGGTAACTATCGCTAGTTTGAAGGGCCTCAGCTCAGCCTTAGCGCTGCACAGCAGAGCAGAAAACTGTGGTTGAAGCAAACAGTATCATTGTAGTTAAGGGACAACCTGATGCATGTACAAGCGAGAAAGAAATGCAGGTGTGTGTGTGTGTGGGAGAGGGGAATTGGAGAGGTAGGAGCTTGTTTGGAGTCTAAACACTAGCACCGATTAGTCGGGTCGAACGGGCTGTTTCTGTGCTGTACGACTCAATAAAATTTTTTAGCTGCACTTCTTTCTCGGCTGCTGTGAATTCCCATCGTTCAGCAAATAGTCCGTCTCTCCGTCTCTGTACCGTCTAAATTTAGTGGGTCCCACTCCCTCATGCCCCAACCTCAGGGTGAAGCTGTTTTACGGCTTCCTTCGCTAAGCGAGAGCTGGGATGAAGCTTATTTATGTAGAGCTATTAATAATTACCAAGAATTATTACCTTTGCTTTTTACGTATGTACTGGAGCTACACGCATAAATGTCATAAAGTCCGTTATATTGCTCCGTATAGGCTGCAGTAAAACTTACACAGATACAATGATAATTATGCTGACAAGACTTTTGACTGCTCCCTTTTTTATTTGCTCCCTTTTTTATTTGCTGCAGTTAAAACCCGGGTGATTAGGAAGCTAAAGGCAAAGAGTCAGCCTGGCTCAGTCACCGGGACTCTCTCCAACTGAGTCAGAAGGTTGTGGGTTCAAGCCCCACATCGGCACTTGTTTTTATTTATTTACCCAGAGAGTTGTTACGGTCTGGAACGCACTTGGCTGAAAGGGTCGTTGGACGCAGATTGCATAGTAGCTTTCAAAAGGGGGATTAGACAGGTACTTTGAGAAAGAAAAATTTGCAGGGATGTGGGGTGAGAGCGGGGGAGTGGGACTAGTTGGGTACCTGTTTCAAAGTGCCGGGCACAGCCACGATGGGATGGGCCGAATGTCCTCCTTCTGTGCTGTGAGAGTCTGTGCTTCCCTGAACACAAGTTGTGGTTGTGGTGGTTGTTGTCGTAACTTGTTTTCTGTATCGTTTGCTCAGGTATGATGACTCTTTGGTGTGGTGATCCTCTCCCCTTTGTATCGGGTCAATCGTTGTGTCTTTGGGTTGTAATTACAATAACAGAAAAGACCTGGCCTTTTCCGGACGAAATGAAAAGGTTTCCGAGGATCGCTATTTGCAAGCCTTTCCCTCACGCATCGAGAAACCATTGAAGCTTTTTTTTTTGTGGCAGGCAATTGTACATAATTTATTGTTAAATATGATATACTGCAATCAAAACACCAAACCTCCCCTAACCCTAACCCTAACTCTCCCCCCACTCCCCCGCCTCTGTCTGTATTAAAAAAACAAACCCTATCTCTCTCTCTCTCTCTCTGTTTGTATTGTAAAGATGTTGACGTGGAATTAAAGATTAATGGATGAATCAAAAATGGAATCATTTTTAGTTTGGTTTCACTCAACGCACTCTACCTATAACTCACCAGGTAGAAGGGCGAAACCTTAGGCAAGTTTCCTTACTCCACCCGCCTCTGTTTACCGAGCAGTAAGTAGAAACCCAGCTGTTAGTCGATTGACAGATCGCTTTCCAGGGGTAATAATCCCTCCAAAAACCCCCACAGAACATTTGGTCGCTGAATCCATGATTGTTTGTGGGTCGCAACTGTGCGCAATTGGCAGCCGCGTTTCACCCACAAAATACAGATAATCCACTTTATTGCTAAACTGCATTCTGTGATGAGCTTTGAGACGTCTCAACGATGTGATAAAGGGCTATATCATATCCAAGGATTATTATTAGTAGTAGCAGTAGTATTAATATGATCATACAACCCATTGTATTAGTGGCGGTGACTGGTTTTGCAGTGGTCTGTTCTAATCCCAAACTCAATCCGCTTGCAAAAATGCACAGTCACTACACTTTACAGTAAATGCAGTGAAGCGTATAGCAATAATAATAACCCTTGCGTTCGATAGAGCTCCTTATGACGTGTTCGAGACGTCTCAAAGCGCTTCACAGAATACACTGCAAAGCGAAGTGACTGTATATTTTTGCGGGCGAAACGCGGCAGCCAATTGTACAACAGCGACGTCCCACAAACAGTCTGTGGATTGAGTCACCAAATAATTATTTTTTTAACTCTTAATAATCTTAATCAGATTACTAATGGCGTGCTTTGTTCTTCAAGCCCTGAGGCAGCAACGATGCAGAATAGAGATATGTTGTTAGCACCTTGAACATATGCTTGGAATGAAGGCAAACACTTAGCGGGAGTTTGTGTACGATGTCGTTACGTGACAATGTCTGTTGCTATTTCAGATTCACTCATGACTGTCGAGATCTTGCCTGCTCGGTAGTAAAAGGTTTTAACATCTACGTGTTTGCAAAGTCCTCACGAAATACGATCCATCTTGCGAGGTGAGACAGCTGGAGAAAAAGCTGACTTGTTAACGAGGGGAGAAAATATGGTCCAATTTAAAATGGCTCGATGCGTACATCAGCCTCCGTCGCCATCAAGAGCACCCCCTCCCCAGCAGACAGACAGTACGAACGCCCCCTCCCTCCCTCCCTCCCGCCACGCATACATAATATAATAATAATAATAATAATATAATCCTTGCATTTGATATAGTGCCTTATCGCTTTGCCTGCGTTGTGACATATTATAGTTTCCAAGCGCGATAACATCACCAGGCAGGGGGTGTCGGCCTGGCTCAGTCGGTAGCGCTCTCACCGCTGAGCCAGAGGTTTGTGGGTTCAAGCCCCACGTCGGGACTTTGGACTCGCATAGCCTACTCCTGACACTCCAAACCAGCGCTGGGGGGTGGCGTTGCGTTGTTGGAGGTGCCGTTCTTCGGATGAGATGTTAAACTGATGTCCTGGCTGCGCCTGTGCGGGTGGACGTCAACGATCTTAAGAAACAGTTCGAAAAGGTAAGAGAGATAGGTTCACTTCCGATGTTCTGGCCAACAATCCCCTCAGATAAAACCGTTTGTTCACCCCATGGCTGTTTGTGGTGATGCCGCTATCCGCGTTCACCTGCAAAATACACTGTACAGTGTATCCTGTGAAGCGCTTTGAGACGTCTCGAAGACGTGATAAGGCGCTGTATCAAATGCCAGGATTATTATTATTATTTATCCTGTAAAGCACTTTGGGGCGTCCTCCTGACATGACAGGCGCTCGACCGAATGTAAAGATTATAACAATTATCGTCATTAATATTATTGATTAATAATATCATAATAATATTATAATAAATATAATAATAATCTGTGTATTTCCCTTGCTACCAGCTATTGGGTTTGTTAGATTATTTCATTGGCTATCAGTGAGATCTTACGAGCTGCCACACCGTTGAGCTGGTTTAAAAAATATCTGTCATTTAATTTTTGTGTCGCATTTTATGTTGCTTTCCACACGATGGCACTATGGGTTTAACCTTCAATCCTATCAAGTTGTTCAGTGAACGTAAGATCTTTTAAGCTTCACGAACGTGCGGGAGCCATAGACGTATCAGTTATTGGCAAATCTTGACATCAATAGGCTGTTTCCACTTGTTGGCGAGGCCATAAAAAGGGGATTATGTATATATACCTCGAGACAAGACAACCACAAGCAGAACTAATCGGAATTTCAGGACAAACTCCTTTCTCGTTTTGACTGGCGCCACGGGATCTTTCACGTCCGTCTGAACAAGCACAGACAGCACTTCGGTTAAACTTCTCATCCATTAGGATCGCACACCCCCCCCCCCACCACCCCCCCCCCCCCCCACCACCATCACTGCATTGGAACAGAATCAGCCTCGACTACGTGAGCTCAAAGTCCGTGACATGGGGCTCGATCCCACGGGAAGGGTAGAATTTTACAGTGAAGGTCACTGTGCCAAGTCCTGTAATAAATCTTGTTTGTCAACACCCCTGTGATGTATTGTTGCTGGAAATAATATAGCTAAGCTATCGCCTCGGATACCATTTGTACCAGGCGTCGTGGGGGCGGGGGGGTGGGGGGAACGATGTTCTTATTGCTTGCTTCTCGCAGCGGTGCTTCGAGCGAAACGCATAATCTGTTGGGTGAGAAGACGTGAAGGAATGACTGAAGGTGATGATGTCTTTCTAATGGGTTCTTTTGCATCTCTGCGAAGCTCCCACTTATTATCTTCTGGGACAGGCAGCCCAGGAATAGGCTTGAGGTTCTCAGGCACATAATTGGACGCCGCATCACACAAATGAGGTGTGATGGCTGCGTGGGCATTGCTAAACGGTGTAATGTGTCACGCACGATCATAACGCGATGAAGATGTTCGGTCCCATATGCCCCACTTTTTTATATATAAGAACAAACACCCCTTCTCGCCCAAGAATGGAACGGAATTGGAACTGGCACAATGTAGAGGCCGGCCAAAGCGATGAGGTCACTCCAACAGGGGCCTTGAGAGGAAAGGAATGGAGGCGAGGGGGGGACGGGGGGACGGGAGAGCCTGGAAGATATAACAGCACCTCTGTCCCACCCCCCACACTCTGGAACTCTATCCCGCAATCCCTCCTCTCTCTCTTGCCTCTTTCAAGTCCCGTCTAAAGTCTTTCCTCTTCGCCCATGTTTCTGCCCCCCCCTCCCACCTCCACCCGCTCCACCCAACCCACTGCCCTCCAACCCACCCCCACCCCCCCCACCACTGCTCTCCACCAGTCCTGCCCCCTAACTCCCAGCTCGGGTGCAAAGAAATCCTGATTGTCCAGCGCCTTGGGACGTCTTTCCAACGCGAAGGGCACTATACAAGTGTAATTTGTTGTTGTTGTAGCCCAAAATCTCTCGTTCCATCAGGATTGGATCAAAGGAAGGAATAAAGGCAGCTATGTAGCCAGGTTGGGCCAGTAATGGTCAACAGATGCTTGAGATATAATAATACTAATAATAAAACTACTACTACTACTAATAATAATCCTTGCATTTGACGCAGCGCCTTACCACATCTTCGAGACGTCTCAAGGCGCTTCACAGGATACACTGTAAAGTGAAGCGACTGTGTATTTTGTGGGCGAAATACCAGAGATACGAGTAAGAAGGGGAAACCGAGAGTGAGTTGTAAAGGGAGCGGTGGGGGTGGTTGGGGTAAGATAGTCAAAGCATGAACTCGAGTCCGCCTGTACAATGACGTGATAAGGCACTACATCAAATGCAAGGATTATTTTTATTATTATTATTATTATTGTCCTGGGTCCGTGTAACATTGCGGAGATGCCTATGTTAAACATCACAATCAATCCAGCGAAGCAATTTGACACGTTTCGACCGCTTGATAAAGGCTCTGTATCAAATGCAAGGCAAATAAAATCAAATAGCCGTGTGATAAAGTGGACAATAAAACTCCATGGTGCAGTGATTCACTTTATGGTCGATTGATGAGAGTACGTGCTAAACTCCTGTCCCTACATGTGACGCATTTTATGTCACTGACAGAAAGTCTAGCAGTGTCGGCTGTGCTGTTTATCTAATAATAATAATAATCCTTGCATTCGATACAGCGCCTTATCACGTCGAAACGTGTCAAATTGCTTCGCTGGATTGATTGTGACGTTTAACAAAGGCGTCTCCGCAATGTTACACGGACCCAGGACAATAATAATAATAATAATCTTCGAGACGTCTCAAAGCGCTTCACAGGATACACTGTAAAGTGAATTGACTGTATGTTTTGTGGGCGAATCGCGGCAGCCAATTGCGCACAGCGAGGTTCCTACAAACAGTCGTGGATTGGAGTGACCAAATTGTTATTATTATTCTTTATTTTATTTTTTCGAAGGGATTTACTACCCCCTGGAAAAGTGAACCGCCAATCGACTAACAACCGGGTTCCTACTCATTGCTAGGTAAACAGAGGGGTGTGGAGTGAGGAAGCTTGCCCTGGCTGGGAATCGCTTGCCAGACGAGCGCTCTAACCACTAAGCTACAGGAATTCACATGTAGGCTTTTTCTCTTTGACAGGGAGCGGTGTTCCAGGTTCCTTTTAGCCACTGCGTCTTACGTAACCCATCCTTACATGTCTCGTACTGTGCAGGACTCTACATGTATTGAGAGGCGATGTATGTTAAGTACACTTGCTTTTGATTCTCCCAACCGTGACTGTTCATGGTTAAGCTGAACAAAGGGATTAACTAACTACAAAGCCATTAGAGCATTTGAAACCCAACTCCGCTGTAGCCTTAAGCTGTCCATCAGTTATGATTGAATTATCCTTTTTAAATCTAATCACCATGTTGGTCATTGTGTTCTGGGTAGGAATTCACCAGGCAATGGGGACTCAACACTGCCTTAGGAGGGCACGAGAGAATGGC